TTGTCGAAGTATATACATACGTACGACAACACTATGTAATGTTGACAACATTGCAAAAATTCGTTGTCGAAATCTACATTTTATACACATCCGTTGTCTAAATGTTAACAAACGTAGTAAGCTCACTTGATATTGATATTGAAAAATTATAAACAGTTTGGTGTCAATTTGGTACCATGCGTGTATGTTTCTTTTTTCCTCTGTGTAGATGAAACATTATCGCGTGTTTAAAAACAAGGCTACAGACATGTTTGTAGACGGGAATATATGTATATAGACGAGTTAATGGACCACATTATTGTTAAATTTATAGGCGAGATTATAAGCAAGTTTATAGACAAAACTATAGACGAGTTTCTAGTAGGGTGATCGATTATTCGACATTTTCCAAAAACCGGTTTTCGAATAGTTCGAATAGTTGACATTTAAAAAAAACCGGTTGATATTTTTCAAATTCAGAAAAAACCGGTTAACCGGTTTTTCATTATAAATAAAAAAAAAATATTTTAATTTGAAAAACTTAATGTTTATGTTTAAATTTGATTAATAAAACATGGCCTGAAATGATTTTTAACAGTTTAAAAGATTATAACTATAGATCTAGTCGTCTGATTTACATTATTTCATTAATATAAAAAAATTAGGAAAAAAGTGGGACACTTCTGTTAAACATAAGGTACTATGTAATCCTAGCTTATTTCAAAAGCCCTGTTTAGAACACTTCCATAAAATTTCAGCCGTAAATTAATTATTGTAAATTGAATATAATCTTAAGATTGATAAATTTTTATCAAACAGTTATCAATTTTACAAATAAATTTTTTTAATTAATTAGGAAAATCAAAAAAGTTTAACCAAAGGAGTTTTAGAAAAATATACGCTAGTTCCTCGACTCAAATAATTTTAAAATTTAGATGTATTATTATTTACTTAAAAATTTCATTTAAATAATCTTTGAATACAAAGCAAATAAAAGTATTCGAAACCGGTTTTTAAAAAGTGAAAAAACCGGGTTATTCGATATTCGAAAAATCTACATTAAGAAAAAACCGACACTGGTAAAGCAGAAAAAACCGGTTTTAAAACCGGTTGAAAAATCGAGTCGATCACCCTAGTTTCTAGACAAGTTTAAACAAGAGACTATAGAGGAGTTATTAGTTACATTTTTAGTCGATATTATAGACGAGTTTTGAGCGATACTATAGATGAGTTTATAGACAAGACCATGGTCAAGACTATAGAAGAGCTTATAGGCGGCATTATTAGCGAGATTTAAAACTAGGATACAGATAAATTTGTAGACTGGAAGATCAGACTATACCAGACTCTAGACGAGATTATGGAACACACTATAGACTGATTTATAGACGAGAATATAGGCTAGTCTATAGACAAAAACTATGGGCGAGTTTATGGACAAGTTTAAAGGCGAGTTTACAAACGAGTCTATGGAGAAGTCGACACTATAGTTTAGCTTATGGAATTTATAGAAGAGACTATTAACGAGGCTATAGAAGATTTTTAGACGAGTCCAGTTAATATAGGTGAGACTATAGACAAGACTTTATACTAATTAATAGACAGATTTATAACTGACTTCATTAAAATAAGAACGTTCCTCGATTTTGACTGAATACGCCATTATATTCACCAGGATATAATCGTCTTATAAAGTGTGAGTTTGATAAGTTTTGTTATGATTTTAAAATAATTTTAGACTAAATTGTCGAGAGTTAAGAACTATTGAAGTTTCTAAAAAATTTAAAAAGAAATATGGATCCTTTTATACTCAAGTACTCATCAACATCTTGATTATCTTAACAAACAATTACAAAATCAATTAACTTCCCACCACAACTTATTGATGCTGACTATAAGTATTATATTTTTATACAAATAGTACGCATATTAAACAACAACACTGAACACATGGTTTTGAGATTTTTTTAATTTATTTCTTTTTTTTGTACTTGTTATAGGTAGCAGTACTTGTTTTTTTGTAATTGTTATTGTTATTGCTCTTGTTGTTGTTGTTATATTTGTTTTAAGTATAAAATAATATAAATGTTTCATATATTAATTAAAATTTCCTACATTTTCTTTACAATATAGAAATCTACATATTAAACAGTTTTCACACACACATACACACATAGAAACTTAAAAAAAAACCTAACAAATGAAGAACACAAATCAAACTCATAGATAAATATTACGCGGAATGTTGTTGAAATTGTTGTAGATCAATGTCAAGAATCTCTCTTTCATTTCTTTTGCTGTTTTTATTTGATTACGATTTTAATTTAGAATGATGGGCATGAAAATAATAATAATAACAATAATTTTTGTTATGAAAATTATTCATATCTTTCATTGTTTAAAATACAGTATTTTACTTAAAATTGATTGATTTTGTTACAAGATTTGGGAAAATTTATTTTTGAAATGTTTAAGTTTTAAAAAATTTAAAAAAAATAACAAACAATTTTGCTAACACTGCGGGCATTTCAAAAAACAAATGTATTGATAATAGTTTGTGATTTGTTTAAGTCTTCCACTTCAAGGTTGCCCATTGCTGTGTCAGCAGTTTTACGAACATGTTGTATTACAATAATTGTTGGGTGCTCATAAACATTTTTATTTAATGTTTTAGTTTTTTTTTAAATTATTTTTTATGAGTTTATTTTGAATTCCAATCGATTATTGTAGGTTAACACGAATTGTGAGTACCCTTCAATGGTAGAAGAGATCTTAAAAAAAGTTAGGTTAGATTGAAGCGATTTTTGTTAGACGACTGTTTGTTAATTACTTGTTCTTCATTACTTGTTCTTTACACATCCAACTATAATTTAATTGTCGGAATTTGTTTTCGATATGATCGATTCAATAACGAAAGCTTAGAGCTAATAAGGAGCTGTTGGATTTGAATATACTGTTACTTAGTTTGAAGAAACTAAATTAATTGGTACAGTATTCGAAGTCGAAGCAATATAACAGTGAACATTGACAGAGCACTAAAAGTTATCCTCTGGAAATAAGATAAAATCTTTAAGTTCTTAGTAGAAGGTCAAAGTTCAATTAGAAAAATACAAAATTTTCGATGAAAAACCTATGATCGGACTACCAAATTCCCGATCGTGTAAAAGCGATCGTGACATTCCTTTCATTACATGATAAACGCTGCCGATATTTGTTTCCAACGTCATCGATCATTCGATCACAAATGTGGTTATTCGGCTAGATATGATCGATCAGATATACGCGCTTTGTCAGAAGAGAGTTGAACTCTCGATCAATCGATCGGGTTAAAGTGATCGTTACTTTCCTTTTTCTTTATTTTCACTCTAGAAATTTGTTTTCATGATCGATTATACGATCACAAATTCGATTCCCTTTCTTCACATTTTAACGATATGATCGTGTTTGTTTTGATGTGGTTTTATGATCTATATAGATCGTTTATTACACTTAAATGTAATATCATTGATCATACGATTTCGAATGCGATGATTTGGTTTCATTCATCAGAATATTTTTTTTAGAAATTGTGTTTGAAATGAACGATCATTCGATGAAGAATACTCGTTTTTTAGATTAGTGAGAGATTAATTTATTTTTTATATGGGTCTATGATCTATTATAGATAGATTCTTGCAAAAGTTGTTGCGATTCAAATAAATAAATTTTCAGCGATATAATCGATCAGGATCAGCATTTCTCTGATTAATTTAGTATTTGATATGATCGATCATCGATCACAAATACAAATTAAGATAATTATCTTGATTGATCATCGATCATATTAAATACTAAATTAAACAGAGAAATGCTGATCCTGATCGATTATATTTTTAAATATGGATCAATTGTAGATCAAATAAAGCTAAATTTATGGAATATTTCTATTAATCTGCTTGCAAACTCTTTCACAAACTTAACATATTTCTCTAAGCTTTAAAGCCCCCTAAATTTAAATACAAATTAAACTTTTTTTTATGACTACAATAAAAACATGTTTCCATACAAATCCAATTAAGATTTGTAGAGAAAATAAAAACACAATTGCCAACCAATAGAGAAAACCCTGAAGTTCCAAATTATCAGTTGAAACTTAAAAAAATAACGCTATTAATAAATTAGCAAAAGTTTGCGCGCGATTTAATGTCTGTCGGTGATCGTAATTACATAAAAAGTGTGCCTCATATTAGTTTAAACAAAAGTGCGTACAACTTGCAATTTATGAGACAGTAGCGTAGTGTATAGAGAGGGCTTTGATCTTTGATAATCGGAAAAAAAGATTATTTTATTTATTATTTTTGAGTTATTTAATGATGATCATTTAAATAACAAAAGCATATTGGACTCTGAACTGTTGTTTGGAAATAAAAGTCAGACTTTGCAGAATGATTTGAATATTTCAAATCTGATTATTGTTTATTTGGATTGTTTATCGGATTGGTGTTTGAGGTCAACTGTAGTTTTTTAAGCAAAAGAAATATTTGTTATAGATTATTCAAAATAATGGCTCTAAACAAATACGTATTAGTCATCAGATTTGAGTTATTCAAGTCTCGGACTCATAGAAAGTTTAGTCTCGTGATTAGGCGATCAATATCTTTTGTTTGACTGTCCCGCTCTACAAAAGCTCACACTAAGGTTAATTGGTAGTGTTGAGCGCTTCAGTTCGAAGATCGTCGTATCGATTCCCACCAGAGACTCTGGTAGAGGAGCTCACAACAGGCCCGATAGTGGCCTAGGTGCTTTAGATTCTTTCAAACTAACTAACTATCCAAGGATAGGGAGTAAAGACTAGAAGTCTAACCGTTTTAAATCGGAAGGTCAAAATTCTTAAACTCTCCTACGATAATATAATAACTACGACCCTGATTTAATGCATGTTTTATCGAATTATACTGCTTCCAAGTAAATACATACAAACATGTTAATGTATGTATGACTACATACATAAATTGATATCATCATCTCTCTGTGATACATACCTTTCATTTAATTTCGTATTTTTCTGACGTTTAATGTGGCGTCTATTGAAACTGTTCGTACACGAGTTCGATGTTGGTTTCGTTAATACTGTTGCTGAGTGATGTTGTGGAAGGTGCTGTTGACTGTGTTGATAGTGATGTTGCTGCTGCTGTAGTAGTTGTTGTTGATGATGGGGATGTTGGTGTTGATGCAGCTGTTGTTGCTGCTGCTGATGATGATGTTGATGATGCTGATGATAATGGGGCTGATAGTGTGTGGTATGTGGTGTCTGTTGGGTTTGTGGATTTTGCTGTTGTTGCTGCTGCTGTTGATTGGGTAACGAGTGCTGTTGCAAGTAGGCTGGTGTTTTAACGCCAGCACTGGCAACGGTCGATGTTGATTCGCCGCCAACGACCTCGTTGGTGGATTGATGTGAACCGTTACTCGATGAATGATGGGTGTAATCAGTCGGTGCACTAAGCTGTCGATTGAATTCGGTTTTGCGACGACTTATATCGGTCAGACAATACTTATTGAGGTGTCCGTTACTCGATAAAGAACTTTTCGGTGATATTGCATGGGGTGAGCCGGCATGTAGGCGATTGCACGAATTAGTGCTAACACTAAGTTTGTTGCCGTTGTTGACCAGATTGCAGCCTTTGTTATTAATTTTGGCTGTTTTATATTGCTGCTGGTGCGTCTGCTGCTGTTTGCTGGAGGTTGGGTTGGAGGATAAATAATTGACACTACTACTTTTGCCGCCGAATATCTGTTGCTGTTGCTGCAAATACGAATTGCTACTGTTGGCGGATGCGGCTGCTGCGGCGGCTGCTGCTAAGACGGCACTTACGGCTGTTTCACTTTTAATTGAGGAACGATATGTGGGATATGAGGACTTGACAGCACCGTTCACTATGTAAGGAGTACTGTGTCGCGACACTTGGTGTCCGGAAGCCACTGATGGTGAAGTTGAAGTCGACTGTTGTTGCTGCTGCTGTTGTTGCTGTTTCTTCTCCACCAGGTAGAGATTAAGATACTTGTCTCCCGGATGCAGAGAATTATCGGACACCGCGTTTGACTTGGCTAGTATTTGACTTTTTTTCTTGCCCGTAGGATGAGTTTTCAGCGACAGATTTCTCAGTTTACGCGACTGTTCTTTGATTTTATTGGTCTTCAAGAAAGACGGACTATTCCCGATGCACTTGAAGATATAGGCTTTATTTACCAACTGCTGCTTGTCCGGTTGCTGTGATTGCGAATCTAATTCGTTCTTGGCATAAATATTACAATCGCTGTAGTGTGTCTTTAGCAGTGGACAATTGTTGGCGTCTTCTAGTTGATGATGACTATAACTGCTGGTTTGGCTTAACGGATCCGAGCTGCTTAGATTATGAACGACTAGATGTTTGAAATCTCCCTGTGTTTGCTGTGAATCCTGATAATCATCGGCTATGGCCAAGCTACTACTTTTGCTGTTGGGACTGTACGAGAGACGACTGGTTGGGCTGTGTTGCTGCTGATGATAACGCTGATTGGCGTCCGCAAGGGTCAACAGCTGCGGTGAACCACTATCGTAAGAGTTTTGTTTCGAAACGCTACTAAAGCGTAAGCCTGCTGATGATGTCTCGTACTGCAGTGAGTGATGATCATCACCTGTTGAACTTCGGGGGCAGGTGGTGGTGGCGTTGCCGCCTAGCCTGCTAGGCTTGCCGAAATCACTACCTTTCTCCTCGCGGTGTGGTTTAACTTCGCTGTCAAGTAAGAATTCGTTGTCGTTGTCGGTGCTGAGACCGTAATAGTTGCGTGACGCACCTTTAGCACTAGTGGTGTGTGTGGTGGTGTTGGTGGTGGATGTTGCAGCCGGTAACGTATCACTAACAACTAATGCACATTTAAGAGACTCACAACTGCACGATATCGATTTGTGCAGCTGATTACGCGTAGAGGACGAAACGTGATCACTGTTTTTACGCGACGTATTACGCGACCGATAACTAACGCTACTACTGGTTTGATCACCAGCCGTTTGCTGCTGTAAATGATGGTGTTGTTGTTCTTGATCTTGATCGGAGGTGGTTGCTCCTTCGTGTGTTGTTACGGCACTACAATAACTGTTATTATCCGAATGACTACTGTATAGAGGAGCAGTCTGAGTCTGTGTGTTCTGAGCGCTTGTAAGGTTGATCAGAGACTGGCGCAGCAAATGTTGATGCGAATGGTGTTGCGGTTGTTGGCGCTGTTGTTGCTTTAATTGTTGTTGTTGTTGTTTAAATTGATGATTTTGTTGTTGTTGTTGTTGATCGCTACTATACAAGTTTTCTCTGCTAGCACTGTAAATATATTCAAACAATAAACAAAACAAAAACAAATATAAATACACCGTTACAAATAATAATAACGCTCGCACAAAACTCTACTCTCTACAAGGTATATTAGAAGAGATACGAGTTCCTCTCTTCTAATACCACCATTTTTACTCAAACAAAAACTTATTAGAAAAGAAAGAAAGAAAAAACTGTTATACACACAGTTCTAATTGTTAGAATTAATCTAAGGAATATTTAGAGTAGATGGTTATTTATGCCAATTTTAATCAAAATAAAATAGTGCCGTTCTCAGTACTATATATGAGTGGGTGAGCCTGAGTTTTTTTTTTGCGGAGCCATAGAGCAAGAAAGAGAGAGTAGAAATTATAATAATAATAGCAATATGTAGTAATAATGATAATAATAAATAAATAAGTAAAATACATTTAAATAATACCATGCTTTGCATACAATAATACAATTCAATACAATAAAATCAAATCAAATGAAATGCCAACCAAACAAACAATACCCCAACCAATCAATTTGGAGTAAATTTAAAACTGGAAAAAAAGAAGAATCTAATTGAGTATCGTATCGCTTTCATTATATTGAAATGTACATATTTCTGTGTAAGTTAGAGAAAGAGAGTGAGTGCTGTTTAGTATATAGAGTAATAGAAATTTTTATATATTTTCTATTGTTTATTATTATTATTTTTTCGTACAATAAAAGTCGTGCAAAAGTGAGCAAATCTGAAAATTGTTTGGAAAATATTTCGCTATATAAAAGTAATAAAGATTTTTGACAGAGTTTTTAAAGAGTTTATTCGTTTGTTGAAATTTAATTAAGTGGAAATGAAAACTAATTTGAAATTAATCGAAAATTTGAAAAAAGATTATGAAAGTACCAAAATGGTGGGAGAAATACACTTTATTAGTAAAACAAATTAGTTCTAGTTCAGGTTTAAATCAGTTCCAGTTCAGTTCTAGTACAGTTCTAGTTTAGTTCAGTTTAGTCAGTTCTAGTTAAGTTCTAGTTCAGTCTAGTTCAGTTCTAGTTCAGTTCTAGTTCAGTTCTAGTTCAGTTCTAGTTCAGTTCTAGTTCAGTTCTAGTTCAGTTCTAGTTCAGTCTAGTTCAGTTTCTAGTTCGTTCTAGTTCAGTTCTAGTTCAGTTCAGTCAGTTCTAGTTCAGTAGTTCTAGTTCTAGTTCTAGTTATAGTTCTAGTTCGTTCTAGTTCAGTTCTAGTTCAGTTCTAGTTCAGTTCTAGTTCAGTTCTAGTCAGTCTAGTCAGTTCTAGTTCAGTTCTAGTTCAGTTCTAGTTCAGTTCTAGTTCAGTCTAGTTCAGTTCTAGTTCAGTTCTAGTTCAGTTCTAGTTCAGTTATAGTTCAGTTCTAGTTCAGTTCTAGTTCAGTTCTAGTTCAGTTCTAGTTCAGTTCTAGTTCAGTTCTAGTTCAGTTCTAGTTCAGTTCTAGTTCAGTTCTAGTTCAGTTCTAGTTCAGTTCTAGTTCAGTTCTAGTTCAGTTCTAGTTCAGTTCTAGTTCAGTTCTAGTTCAGTTCTAGTTCAGTTCTAGTTCAGTTCTAGTTCAGTTCTAGTTCAGTTCTAGTTCAGTTCTAGTTCAGTTCTAGTTCAGTTCTAGTTCAGTTCTAGTTCAGTTCTAGTTCAGTTCTAGTTCAGTTCTAGTTCAGTTCTAGTTCAGTTCTAGTTCAGTTCTAGTTCAGTTCTAGTTCAGTTCTAGTTCAGTTCTAGTTCAGTTCTAGTTCAGTTCTAGTTCAGTTCTAGTTCAGTTCTAGTTCAGTTCTAGTTCAGTTCTAGTTCAGTTCTAGTTCAGTTCTAGTTCAGTTCTAGTTCTAGTTCAGTTCTAGTTTCAGTTCTTAGGTTCAGTCTAGTTCAGTTCTAGTTCAGTTCTAGTTCAGTTCTAGTTCAGTTTCTAGTTCAGTATCAGTTCAGTTTCTAGTTCAGTTCTAGTTCAGAGTTCTAGTTCATTCTAGTTCAGTTCTAGTTTCAGTTCTAGTTCAGTTCTAGTTCAGTTCTAGTTCAGTTCTAGTTCAGTTTCTAGTTCAGTCTAGTTCAGTTCTAGTTCAGTTCTAGTTCCGTTCTAGTTCAGTTCTAGTTCAGTTCTAGTTCAGTTTCTAGTTCAGTTCCTAGTTCAGTTCTAGTTCAGTTCTAGTCAGTTCTAGTTCAGTTCTAGTTCAGTTCCTAGTTCAGTTCTAGTTCAGTTCTAGTTCAGTTCTAGTTCAGTTCTAGTTCCGTTCTAGTTCAGTTCTAGTTCAGTTCTAGTCAGTTCTAGTTCAGTTCTAGTTCAGTTCTAGTTCAGTTCTAGTTCAGTTCTAGTTCAGTTCTAGTTCAGTTCTAGTTCAGTTCTAGTTCAGTTCTAGTCAGTTCTAGTTCAGTTCTAGTTCAGTTCTAGTTCAGTTCTAGTTCAGTTCTAGTTCAGTTCTAGTCAGTTCTAGTTCAGTTCTAGTTCAGTTCTAGTTCAGTTCTAGTTCAGTTCTAGTTCAGTTCTAGTTCAGTTCTAGTTCAGTTCTAGTTCAGTTCTAGTTCAGTTCTAGTTCAGTTCTAGTTCAGTTCTAGTTCAGTTCTAGTTCAGTTCTAGTTCAGTTCTAGTTCAGTTCTAGTTCTAGTTCTAGTTCCGTTCATAGTTCAGTTCTAGTTCAGTTCTAGTTCAGTTCTAGTCAGTTCAGTCATTTCTAGTTCAGTTCTAGTTCAGTTCTAGTTCAGTTCTACGTTCAGTTCTAGTCAGTTCTAGTTCAGTTCTAGTTCAGTTCTAGTTCAGTTCTAGTTCTAGTTCTAGTTCAGTTCTAGTTCAGTTCTAGTCAGTTCTAGTTCAGTTCTAGTTCAGTTCTAGTTCAGTGTTCTAGTTCAGTTCTAGTTCAGTTCTAGTTCAGTTCTAGTTCAGTTCTAGTCAGTTCTAGTTCAGTTCTAGTTCAGTTCTAGTTCAGTTCTAGTTCAGTTCTAGTTCAGTTCTAGTTCAGTTCTAGTTCAGTTCTAGTTCAGTTCTAGTTCAGTTCTAGTTCAGTTCTAGTTCAGTTCTAGTTCAGTTCTAGTTCAGTTCTAGTTCAGTTCTAGTTCAGTTCTAGTTCAGTTCTAGTTCAGTTCTAGTTCAGTTCTAGTTTAGTTCTAGTTCAGTTCTAGTTCTAGTTCAGTTTCTATTTCAGTTCTATTTCAGTTCTAGTTCAGTTCTAGTTCAGTTCTAGTTCAGTTCTAGTTCAGTTCTTGTTCAGTTCTAGTTCAGTTCTAGTTCAGTTCTAGTTCAGTTCTAGTTCAGTTCTAGTTCAGTTCTAGTTCAGTTCTAGTTCAGTTCTAGTTCAGTTCTAGTTCAGTTCTAGTTCAGTTCTAGTTCAGTTCTAGTTCAGTTCCAGTTCAGTTCTAGTTCAGTTCTAGTTCAGTTCTACTTCAGTTCTAGTTCAGTTCTAGTTCAGTTCTAGTTCTAGTTCAGTTCTAGTTCTAGTTCAGTTCTAGTTCTAGTTCAGTTCTAGTTCAGTTCTAGTTCAGTTCTAGTTCAGTTCTAGTTCAGTTCTAGTTCAGTTCTAGTTCAGTTCTTGTTTAGTTCTAGTTCAGTTCTAGTTCAGTTCTAGTTCAGTTCTAGTTCAGTTCTAGTTCAGTTCTAGTTCAGTTTTAGTAAAGTTTTAGTAAAGTTCTAGTTCAGTTCTAGTTCAGTTCTAGTTCAGTTCTAGTTCAGTTCTAGTTCAGTTTTAGTTCAGTTCTAGTTCAGTTCTAGTTCGGTTCTAGTTCAGTACTAGTTCAGTTCTAGTTCAGTTCTAGTTCAGTTCTAGTTCAGTTCTAGTTCAGTTCTAGTTCAGTACTAGTTCAGTACTAGTTCAGTACTAGTTCAGTTCTAGTTCAGTTCTAGTTCAGTTCTAGTTCAGTTCTAGTTCAGTTCTAGTTCAGTTCTAGTTCAGTTCTAGTTCAGTTCTAGTTCAGTTCTAGTTCAGTACTAGTTCAGTTCTAGTTCGTTCTAGTTCAGTTCTAGTTCAGTTCTAGTTCAGTTCTAGTTCAGTTCTAGTCAGTTACTAGTTCAGTTTCTCGTTCGTTCTAGTTCAGTTCTAGTTCAGTTCTAGTCAGTTCTAGTTCAGTTCTAGTCAGTTCTAGTTCAGTTTCTAGTTCGAGTTCGTAGTTCAGTTCTTGTTCAGTTCTAGTTCAGTTCTAGTTCGGTTCTAGTTCAGTTCTAGTTTCAGTTCTAGTTCAGTTCTAGTTTCGTTCTAGTTCAGTTCTAGTTCAGTTCTAGTTCAGTTCTAGTTTAGTTCTAGTTCAGTTCTAGTTCAGTTCTAGTTCAGTTCTAGTCAGTTCTAGTTCAGTTCTAGTTCAGTTCTAGTTTCAGTTCAGTAGTTCAGTTCTAGTTCAGTTCTAGTTCAGTTCTAGTTCAGTTCTAGTTCAGTTCTAGTTCAGTTCTAGTTCAGTTCTAGTTCAGTTCTAGTTAGTTCTAGTTCAGTTCTAGTTCAGTTCTAGTTCAGTTCTAGTTCAGTTCTAGTTCAGTTCTAGTTCAGTTCTAGTTCAGTTCTAGTTCAGTTCTAGTTCAGTTCTAGTTCAGTTCTAGTTCAGTACTAGTTCAGTCTTAGTTCGTTCTAGTTCAGTTCTAGTTTAGTTTTAGTTCAGTTCTTGTTCAGTTCTAGTTAAGTTCAGTTCTAGTTCAGTTCTAGTTTAGTTCTAGTTCATTTCTAGTTCAGTTCTAGTTCAGTTCTAGTACAGTTCTAGTTCAGTTCTAGTTCAGTTCTAGTTAAGTTCTGTTCTAGTTTGAGTTCTGATAAAAAAGTTCCTACCCGAAGTTTGAGCTTTTCCAAATCTTTTCAAACTAGGTATTTAAAAACTGTTCGTGAAAATTCCCCGAGTTTGAAACAAAATTCAAAATTGAATTTATTATATGAAAACCTGATTTTTTTCTCATTTGTTATTGGGAGAATTTATTCTCTTTAATCAATTATTGATCAAAGAAATTGAAAATTATTCAATTGTTGCCAGATTTCCCACTCAGAGAATATGAATTTTTAAAAGCATCCTTTCTGAGGGTAAGTCCTTAATTAGA